GAATCCTCTGCAGAAAATAAAGCCAGCAATTGTTTTTTTCATCCTACAATTGCTTTGGAAAATTAGACTAATGGCCCAGGGATACTTGGTACCGTTGCACTTCTTGAAAAACACAGAAAAAAAGTGAACTTAGTTGACATCTTAGACACGTTTACAAGAAGATGTTTCCATACTACCTTAAAATGTTATAATCCATCACCTGAAATCCAGAGAAACCAGACTTGATGTTGTTGAGTTTTCTGTATCTCTCTAGTCCTGGTGCTATAGACACTTAAAACTCAGCACACATTTGAAGGTGTCGAACATGTTTACATGTGAAAAATATGTTGTTTGTTTGTATTCCATTGCACAGGTCTCTCCAGGCGAGCCACTGTTGTGACGCGAGGTTGGCTGCTGGACACAGTTTCAACCTACACCCTCCAGAACTACCAGGACTACTTACTCTGACTGGGTTTACTTGATGGTTTTTTTTTATATAACTATAGATAAATCTGTATATATTGGTATGATAGAAGCTCTTTGTACGTACAAAATTTAATATTATTATAATTAAATCAAACTAACGAAGGTAAGCCGCTTTTCTTTTTAGTAAACGTACTTTTTTTTTTCTCCTGAGGACCTTTTTGCAAACTGCTTTGCAGTTCTGCAACTTGTGTTTTAATTAAAACCTGTTACTAGTGAAATCCCGTTCTTGAACAGACAGGGTTCAATTTTACCAGCTAACCTTTTGCTGCAGTTTGCTGAGAAAATTCTGCCTTTGCGTCTGACTGATTTCACCGTTCCCAGGATGGTATTAAACTGTGGCCACTCATTCATTCATAATCTGCAATCTTCTCCCTCACATTCATAAAGAATGAGACCCTGCACAGTTTGTAAACAGTGTTTCCATGCATGAGGGAAATGTGCCGTTATTAATAATGCATACTTCAACTCACAGCACTAACTCAAGCCCTCTGGGGATGTGTAGGAGCTCGAAGCGCTGCCTTAATTGTACTAAACGCGGCGATTGTTGTGGATAAATCTTATTATTAACTACATATGACACTAAAAAAATCATGGAAATGAATAAGCTTTAAAAACAAAAAACAAAAAACGCCCAGTTCCCACACAGAAAAAAAAATCGCTGCTGCCACTTCCCACTTTTCTAGCAGAGTGAGCTCGGAACAGATGAGCCTCAAGGTTATGGTTGCACATGAGTGACTGGACCCTATAGTGACAATATATAAGTGTTAGCCTTAAGCTGAAGTGTGTTGTCGGTGTTGTTTCATCCTGCGGCCAGATGGATGAAATACAAACAGAGAACATTTTACTCTTCCTGCCGTGTTGCCGCTCTCTGGGTTTTTTTTTTATTTTATAAACCTCTCTTCTGCTCACTGTGAGGCAAGATCTCTAACTGATCCTCCTCCATGTGAACCTGAAAATAATTAAAATCCAGATCTTAATCAGTCATGCTAGTTACTCCTACTTCAGTGGCAGTGACATTTGTTTGCAGCAGTAAGTGGAGGTTGCTGGATTTAGTCTCTGTCATTGCTATGACAACGACTGATAACCATAACAACAACAAGGGAGAAGCAGGTAGCTGAAAATAGAGACAAAGCCTGGACCAAACCTTAAGGTCAGCACGTTTACATCCAGGCGTTCTAAATGCCAGATGTTGCTGCGGCAGTAGCTACAGTGCTGGGACGCCGCTTTCTTTCACTCCGCTGATTTCCCTTTTCAGTGCAAGGCTGCAGAAGAGTTTGCCGTCAGCTCTTGGTGATGATGAGGTTGTCACTGCGTTATGCAGTCGGTGCACACGGGGCTGCACCGTTCGCTTTTATGTGCCTTTGTCTATTAATCCACTGTGTATGATTTAGGGAAAATTAAAATTTTATATTTGGCAGAAATCAAATATTAAATACATGCTCATGTGCGCGCAGAAGCTCGGAGTGTGAATTGTTGCTTTCATTACCCTGATGTGAACTGCGTTATATCAAGTGTGGGTCTTTACGGCGGTCGCCATGTTGGTTCACCGCGCTTTTAACGTTAGGCTTTAGTAAAACTCTACTGAAGGCTTCTGTGTTTTTGTCCTACATTCTTGGAATTTGGGCCCCAACGTTGAAGAAGTTCCTGACAACATACTGTGTGTGCTGTACGTTGTCCCCACAGGTCTGCGTGTGTGTTTTCTCTCCAGGTGTTCTAGGTTCCTCCCACAGCCCAGACACGTTTTTTGGACACACAACAAACCATTGGTATGAGCCTGAACGTGAACGGTTTGTTTGTCTCCAAATGTGGTGCTGTGATGGACAGGACAACAGTCCAATGTGCTCCCTGGAACCCTGAAAACGGTTAAACTGTTTAGTTGATATTCAACAGCATCCTGGAACTTTACCACTAGAGGTCGTTGTTTGTCTTATCTTGGTCTAAATACAACATAGTACAAGACTGTTTTTTTTTCTTAATAGGTGCAGCTTTTTGTAACAGTCTTCACTGTCAGTGCAATTGTAGCAAATGAATCAACAGTTGTTGTTTTTTTTTGCCAATTTTTTGTAACTGTTGTCATTTCAATATACAGTATATGTCTTAGTCATTAATAGGCTAAGTTAAGTTACAGCTGGCTATAGGTGGCTTGTTTTTAAGTTACTGTCATACAGTTTGTCATTTGGGCTAATGTGCTGCTTAGTACTAAAATACATTGTGGTACATTTAAGTGCTCTGACAGAGGCATCTGTTCATGACTTCATCCTTGGTTATCGCTGCAGGAAACAGCTGAAAACACTTGCAGATTCTCATTCAATACTGTTTTTGGGTAGAGAATATGGAATAGTTGTTTCAAGCTAAACTCCCTCCACTTTTTGTCACCACACACTTTCATGACTGGGAAAGTTTATGAGTGGGACCAGTCCTTTATATCTGAGCTTCTGATTGGTTGAGGAATTTGAGGACAATAGAAGATGCTGAATTCACTGACGAGGCCCTAAGAGCTAAAATCATGTTGTTGAACAATAATAATTACATCCCACTGTGTTTTTATGTTTGGACCTCCTTAACACTCGTTTGTTAAGGTGGATTGCTTGATAGATTTGTGCGGTTGTGCTGTGTGACTGCCTCATCCTGGACATGGGCGTTTGTGGGAGATATTTCTGTTCATATGCTTCACATGGGAAATTAGCAGGAAACAGCCTGCTGGACCACCTGGGGGGGTTTACAGCGTGCTGGTTTGTAAAGATGCACATCTGTGAGCATGTATGCAAACATCAGTGAAAAGACACCTGAGGGCTCCCCTCCTCCCACCCTGAACCTCCCCCAGCTAAATCCAGTGTACACAATCCAGTGTGCACACAGCCGAGTTTCCTGTTTGTTTTGCAGCAACACAAGAGCATGTGTTTGCCCCGAACCACTCTGTGACTCCTGCAAGAAGTAAACAACTGTCACAAAGTGTTTTGCGAGACACGCTACAACAGTAGATCTACTAGGAGTATGCAAATGCTACGAGGTCACTCCGTGTAGCTGTTTTTTTTCCCCCCCAGCTCCCAGTGAAGACGTTTCTGTTTAATCCCATTTATTGTATTTTTAGTTACATCTTTCTTGATCTTACTTTCACTGACATTTTCAGATGAATCCAAAAGGGATGCAGATAGAGTCTTAAAGGTATTTTTGACTTTTTTTTTTGCTTAAAAAAATTCCTTCAGTAATATAAAACCAAATGGTACCAAACGAAATATTATGGAAAAGATAACAATTAAGTGATTAAATATTAATATTTTCTTCTTTCACATGACATAAACAAACCATTTACTGACCTTGTACTGTTTTGTTTATTAAAATGTAGTAATATTTAATCTCCCTTGGTTATGATGACAAAAACGAGTATATATATTAAAGTAAAAAGGAGATACACTGTGAAAAGCCAAGTGTCAGACTGCAGGGAACAGTGAGCGCACTCATCCATGATGACCCGTAATTGCTCTCACACTTTGTTGCTGTCATTCTCATTATTCTTTGGCCTGAAACCTTAACAAATATTTTATACAGTCATTTTGGTCACACCCCTGGGCTATTATCCAAACACTGCCTTCCATCTAAGCACTTAAAAAGATAGTTTGGTGTTTTTTTGATGTGCCGTTGGATAAGGTGACAGAGACAGAGGTAGAGAGATGTGGATGTTTAAATCATTGGCTGTAAAAAAGAGTTTCTGCTGGATTGTGTCTCTGATATCTTTTGAGAAGTTTATGTAGCTCAGCCCTTTACCATTTCACGCTAATGCTATGACAAATTCAGTACACGACGTGTAACCATCGTGTTATTTGTTGACATTTAAATTCTTCTCTTCCAGATCCCTGAGTGTTCCCTGAGAAGCAACTTTTTTTTCTTCTGAAGTTTGTTGAGGACAACTCAGAGACCTTTATAGCACGACAAACGGCTGGGAATTCCAAGGTTCAAGTGATGATGTCACAAGTACACTTTTGTTTTCTCTTTCGGAATGTTGTGTTATTTGATTTGTCATTGATTCTAGAAATATGAGAAAAATGTGGAGCTTCAAAAAAAATCCGCTCTTGTTCAAAAACTTTGGAGAGCCCCTGACTTAGAGAGTGTGCCAAATACGTTTTTGTCTATTCATAAGCATTTTTGTTTTGTTTATGTCGTCGCCCAGCAATTCACTCCACAAATTTTCCGCCATCATTGTTGCCATAAAACACGGGAGAAGAAGCTTTAACGCCCCCACATGGACACGTGGCACATATATTTTTAATTTGCTCAATTTTGCATGCTGTATAAATGGGTGTTGAACTTTTAAGTGCCTTCTTCCACTGACACGCCAACCGTTCCCATGGCGCTAGCAATTGCTTGCGCCGTGTCTGATAGTCGTCGTCGGACTAATGCCGAGTCGCCTTGAGATTTTCAAATTTAAAAAGCCAGGATTCCGGCAACAGTGAGCAGATATAACAAGCATGATGTTCGCAGATATTCCCACTGTCGGAGCATTAGGCCGTAGTTTTATGGCTACTGACACTGAGAAAGCAGGAAGAGCATTAAAGATGCAGAAGGGTTGAGCCTTGGTGGTCACTGATCACTGCTATTTTATAGCAGAGTTAAAATGAAAAATGGACCAGAGGCAAAGTTTGAATCAAGAAAATGCTGCGTATAAAAATAAAGCAGTTAAATCCGGCCGTCTTGATAGGTTACCGTCACTGAAGTTCTGTAGAATCCGGCCGTCTTGATAGGTTACCGTCGCTGAAGTTCAGTAGCGTAGCATGGTTAAAAAAACAAAAAAAACGCGTAGCATGGTAAAAAAAAAAAAAAAACCCAAGTTCGTTCTTTAGATTCATTCTAGTTATTTTATTACGGTTACAAATATGGTTATTTTGGAGTTTTTTTTTCTTTCTATTTTTGTAGTTTGGGTTTGACTAATTTGGAGCTGTGTTTTACTCCTGTAGACACTGGACAGACGTCTGTTAACAGTTAACATTTAAATTTTGAATTCCACAGCCCCCTAACTGCATATCCTCAAGTTATTGGATGGCACTGGAATACCAAGAAAAAGAAAAAAAAACACCAAAAAAAGTTTTCTGGGATTCAATCCAGGAACTGTCTCGCTGTGAGGCACTGGTACTCACCACTGCATCACTGTGCTGGCCGTAGTTAAAAGTGTTTGCTGATTCAGCCCTGGTCGTTTCAGAGAGACTGCAGTTTGATGAGCCACAGCTACACTGACAGCTAACAGAACCACCAAAACATAACTCAATTTCCAAAATGTAGTCAGGTGAGCGTGTCTGTGCTCGACAGGCTAATATTTTAGCCAATCGTCTGATTGCTGATTAAGATGTTTCCTGGTGGCTCGTAGCATTTTAGCGCGTCTTAGGGGCCACTGTAGGTGTTTGTTTCAGTGAAACATCTAAGATCAATAATACTTTGTGTACCAATACTGGTACCAACAATCGCTGTTAGACTTGGACTTGTGTGTGTGTGTGTTTTTACCTTTGTCAATACCCTTGACTTTGGACAAATCACTTGCCTTGTTACTCAGTGGATAAAATCGTCTTCTATTCCAAATATCTGACTGTAGTACTTAGTAACTGGTTTATGGTTTGATCCCTGGCTCCTTCAGTCCAGTTATTGTGTGCCAAGAAAATATTGAGCTGTGAACTCCCCTCCTCCCTTCTCCTCCCCCGTCCTCCCCTCTCCTTCCCCCTCAAATTGCTCCTGATGGTGAGGCTGAAGCTGTGTATATTGTTCTGTGCAGCCGCCTATAACTGTGCAGTAAGAGTTTTTGATCGGCAAAGCCATAAAGGTATCGAGTGGCCCTCAAAGCTCTGTGTCAATAAAAGGCGTTTACTATTCCTCGCTATTCGCTCCTCCGCCGTCTCTTTACCGTCAGCCAATAATGGAAGATTTCTAAGAACTCATCCCGGGTTTACTTTGAGATGTCTGAGACATAATGGAGTGACAGTAAAGGGTCAGTGACGTCTGCCCGCCCTTTTGACCTTTACATAAAATAATTGAAAGCAAAGCGCTGAAACCACCGGTGGTACACGTACCACAGTTTGAGAACCACTGACCTATATACTGTATATAATATACTGTAAAATGGCTTCATGATGACGTGAGTGGGAAAATATCTTTTTTATTTTCCTAATAAATGTCTGAAAGTCATTTACAGTTGCCACAACTGTGCGGACGATCTCTCGTCCCCGACTGCGGTTCGTCCCTGCCTCGGGCTCCTGGTGTGACCTGCGGCTCCGTCTCTTGTAAACATGACATTGTAGCCGTCAAATGTCACATCGCTGTGGCTTAGAGAGTCAGTGCGCCGCCGCGGGGAAGAACAGTTAAAGGTCAATCCGTAAGACTTATGGACACAGTTCGGGAGAGCAACTTTGATTTGTAATACGAGCGGCATACGCGAAGGTTGATGGAGATCTGAAATACTTAGATAGGTAAATGTGGGAATATCAAACCTCCGCACACTGAGCTGAGACGTTTTGATGAGTTGTGGGAAAGAAATGGCCGTTTTCTCCGTGTCGTGGACGGTATAAACGCAATCACTCCAATGATGTCATGTCCGGACAGAGGACAGACCGCTCAAAGTGATGATATAAACCGACAGCTACAGCTTAACAGTGTGTTATCGTCACACAGCTATACATAAAACTCTGCGGGATGACACTTTAAATACTCTGTGATCTTTTTACTGCTCCTTATAGTTAGGTCATTCTGAAACTGAAGGATTGACTACTCTGGCATTATTCAGAGGGAACTTAAAGAACAGTGACGTTTCATGAAGCTGAGAGCCAATATTTTGTCTGTTTCCTTCAAGCTAAGAAAATACGTTAATATTTCAGATATTTCTGGAAATATCGGGGAAAAAAATTGTGAAACTGCTGATACAGTAACTGCAAGTGTCCAAGAAGGTACGTCAAGAAGGTACGTCAAGATGTTTGTGAGATTTTTGTTAAATTGTACACAATTTGTTTACATTTTTTAAAGCTGTCAAAATTACAATAATCTTGTTAACTAATTTCTGAAGATCACGCAAAAACTCACTTAAATATGTTTTAATGCCTGGGCAGAATGATGACAAGTGATTATCTAATAATCCCTCCGCTGATCCTTGCTCTAATACACAGTAAATACTTACAGTATTGTTTACACATACAGTGGAACCTCGGTTATCGTGCGCCTCCCTTTTCAAGCAATTCGATTCACTAACAAAACGTGTCTTTCTGTTCCAGGAATAAACAGAAGACACGTCTGCTAAGGACCCCTGATCCAAGAGTGATCTGAGGTAAGGAATGATTTCTAGGATTTGTTTCTACTGTCCTCTAAGATGCCCCCAAAAGGTATTGTTTTAGTCAGCCGTGGTCTCTGTTTGAAGTAACAACAAGAACAGTTGATATTTCAAGGAGCAAAAGTCAGTGAAATGATGTGTTCTGTTTTTTTTTCCCATGGAAGTGAGGAAGAAAAACCAACATAATTTAGACCAATTCACAAATAAAGTTTTGAAATTTAATCGCATGGGTATATATATAATTACAGTCAAGTAAAACATTTACATAGAGCATTTGAAACTTTGTTATCACATGTACAACGTAGCATGACTCCTTCCTTCCAGTGTGGATTGTTTGAACAGTTTCAGATACACAAGAACAGCTTCAGTTTGTGGTGAATCTCTCTCTCTCTCTCTCTCTCTCTCTCTCTGTCTCTGTCTCTCTCTCTCCAACATTTAAAGCACTTGTGGTTTAAGAAAATCTGCGTCATCTCATCCCACTCAGTCCACACTCTTCAAATGAAGCGAAGCAGCTGTTTTGCGTGCATCTATTGTGCTTACACACGTAAGGACAGAATAACAGAGAAAACACAGCTGAGGTCACGACCCCGCCGCGTTCCCGTCGGGTTCTGCGCGTCGACCTTTCAAACCGTCACTTTCCCTTCTCTGCCCCCCGTGTTACTTTTGCTCCACAGCCTGTTTGTGTTTGTTAACGTGTTTATGTCAAAGTGTTAAAGATAATTAGCGTTTGCCATCAAAATAGCCTCCCTGCAGAAAACAGCCATTAGGAAAAAAACAAAACAAAACAACCTTCTTGCTAAAGATGGATGATCATTTCCTTTAGGAACCCACAGTGCAAAGTGCAAAACTCTGACAAGAATCCACCAATAAATAAAGTTCATGTGCAGCACGCTTTGGGTCCATCAGCGCGCACACACACTTCAGCTCACTCCTACATGAGCACGCAGCTCTTGGCCCGGTCCTTTCTAATGGGCGGGGGGTGCTCGTGGAGCTCAGTCCGAGGAGGCTGCTGGGAAACTCGCTTGATGACGCGACGGGAGGCAGCGCGTTTGACCTGAGGGCAGTGGATGCGGGACACGGACGCCAGCGTGGTGACGTGGAAAACGTCCCGCACGCTGTTCTCGGAATACTTCGAGGTGCACTCTGTGTAGGCGGCGGCTCCGATCTGCCTCGCCAAATTGGTGCCCTGAAAATGCACAGAAATACACAGAACGTTCAGAAAAAAATCTGCGGGCCAAACAAACTGTTCACAGACGCTGTCGGGAACCAGGGTTTTAACACAGGAAATGCTAACAGAGTTTTGAGCATGTACTTTGGGATCAATACGTACACATATATATTAGGATTAGAAATAGTTTGGTGTAAAACACTCAAGGGCAAAGGTCAAAATGACCAAATCAGGAGTGTGCATTGGTGGATTTTTCGAAGTTAGTTCCACTACTTCATTGAAAATGGGAACAGGAAGTGGAACTAAATGATGGCTCCAAACCACTCCTTCTGTGCTGCTTCCTGTTGCATTTATTTCTTATATAAGATCTACTGTCTGTTTTAGACACAACTCTGTGGATCTACTGTCTGTTTTAGACACAACTCATCAACTTATTGTGTGAAATCAACTTCTTTCTGTTTTTTTTTTCTTTTATTTTCAGTTGAAGCGATGCAGATCCAGGATCAGGTCAACTAATCGCCCTGAGCCGTGAAGGTGAGTGTTTAAGTTGACATTAGTCAGTGTTAGGACACAGAGGATAAAGGACGTCCACAGCAGAATAGCTTGTTAGAGACATGCAGACAGGCACAATCCTCCACGAAGCTATGAAATATTAAAGTCTCTCTGTGTGCTGCTGTAAAGGCTCAGCTTATTCCCGCTAGTGATTAGTACCACCTTAAATCAGGCCTGGGTGAATTTGTCTATGATACTACAGAGTACTCTTCCACGACGCAGGAACGGTCTCAGATGTGCGGCGATGTGGCGTGTTTGTATTGTTGAAGCTGCAGTGCGTAACTTTTAAATATAAATGAATGTCCGTTCCAGGCTGCCCACTGGCTAATGAGATTGAACGCAGTTGACCGAGGCTATGGGCTTCACACTGTTTGTCGCAGTATAAGGGAAAACCATTCACTTTGTGCCGGAATATAAACAAATATATTCCAGTTGTGGAATCGTTAACTTGACCATGACCTGGATGACTCTTCATAGACATATTCCAGTTGTTTCCAAAAAACAAATGGAATATACAGTATATATATGTATATATTCCATTTTGTTTTTGCAAATCTTCATAATTATGACTTATGATGACGAATTTTAGGTTGAGTTAAATTAACGATTTAATATTTATTCGGATTTGAAATTGTCTGTTGAGGGTTGGAAAAGAAAAAGTAGAAATAAAACATAGCATAGCCCAACAATGACTCATTAGGAAAAGCTTTGGTAAAAGCAAACTTTTATAAACAACTTCAGGCCATTTGTTTTAATTGGTGTAACTTTTAAGAGCTTAATAAAAACAAGCAACAAAACAAATCCCCGTGTATGCTACACTCACCAGCTGATGTGGAATAAAAATGTCTCAAAATTGAACCTTCACCACAAAAGTCACACTTTTTGGTCACACTGGGAGCAGAATCAGTTCATTCAGAGAACGCTCTTGATGGATCACTTTAACGTCGTCACCTACGACACAGCGGAGGTCATTAGCTCCGCTTAGCCTTGTCACAATGAGGAGGAAATATTAATTTGTTTACAAAGGGCTGCCCAGAAGTGAGGATTCACATTAGCGTGAGAACAGGCCATTAAAATTCATGCCACCGCTCATCGCTCCGAGACACGGAGAGAAGAACTGTTTGTGTTTTCTGCTGTTTGCCTCTGACTTTATTCACACTGATATATCTTCGATGCTAACTGACGTTTCGGAATTTGCGACAAATGAATCTTTCCTTGAGGTTTCCTGTTGATTATAAAGGTTAGTTGTTCGGTAGGTTAGAATTGAAATGTCTGTTCACCTGTTCGTGTGTGACAGGGATGAGTCTGTGTCTAGAAAGTTCTCTCATGACGTTGAGGTCCGTCCTCAAGTCCAGCTTGCAGCCCACCAGCACCACCTTGGCGTTGGGACAGAACTCCTGCGTTTCTCCTTGCCACTGTAATTGGAGTAAGAGGTCAGAGCAGGAGGAAGTGGTCATTAAAGAGTAATTACCACAGCGCAGCAGACTCGTTTCAGGCCCGCCATTAACATGATGCTATAAATACACCTGTATGAAAATATACAATAATACAATTCTTTCACGATTTTTCCCCCTGTTTTAAATGAGTTTTTGAGGTGGATTTTTAAAGTTCCGTTACAAGTCTTCATTTTAATTTAATTCAATTCAATTATTTCAAACAGTGAAGTACAAAATCGACATTTTTACAACTCATAAAAGCCTTTACTTGACAGATAAGGAGACGGGCTGTGATCACATGACTAGCAACTGCCACGTCAGTATTGATGTAGGACATTTGCGATGTCAAAATGGGGTCACAACAAGGTTAAGAACCACTGATATAATGGTTCAACAAACCAGGGACTTTCTGGAATTCTGTTGACTCTAAAATGATCCCACAACCCTCTGATTGAACGCAAAAACTGCACTAGAAATGGATCCACAGTCCACCATTATTATTCCCAGCTGCCATGATAAGTAAAACATGTCGTGACATGTGTTTTATAATAAATCAGATTAGGGCTCATCAAAGACCACATTTGGGAAAATATCAGTTTGGTCCTTGAACACCAGGTGGCGCTACAAACAAACGATGATTTCACTTAAAACATTAAGTCAAAGGTGATATGGATTTTTCTATGATTGTTGTTGTTGTTGTTGTTTGCCATGTCGTGCGCTCACAGCAGTGGGAAGCTCGTAGGCCACACGGACGGAACAATAAGATGACTCAAACAGCGAAACTCTTTCTTCTTCTCTGTGTCTCTGTTTCCCTCTGAGAGACGCATCTTGTTATCTCGGCACATCACAGCACACATTGACCACTTTGTGCACCGTCGTGATGTTTGTTCCTTTTGTTTTCCTCCCACATTCCTGCGTCACCGCTGTGTCTCGGCCCGGCGCGTCGTGTTCTGTCTGACGCTCGGACTCTCGTCATGGACCAGTGTTCAGAGGGTTAAAAACCTCTTTTCTCTTATTAAATTATTAGAAATGTTTATCTTGATAAATCACAAATAATCAAGATAACACTTAAATCTTGAATTGTTTTCAGCCCTAATTGTTTGAAAATTAAACCCATCAATCCAAATTAACGTGACGCAGTTTGGGCTCCGTTTATCGTGATCTGATCCATTCTTAATAATTACAGAAATTAAACCAGAATTATACAAATTAGGCGTACTTAAAATAAAGGAATGTAATTGGACGATGCAGATGCTTTAGTGTTGGCAGGGCAATAAAAGTAAAAAAAAAAACACATTTTTAAAATATGAAGTTAGAGTTACGACATTAGGGGTCACCAAAGGATAAATCAGGATGTGAGGTTAAAATCTGAAGGCAGCATTTAAGTCATCCAGCAACACTTCAAAAACCAGTGAGTGTCTAAACGGCGTCATGTGCTGCAAGGCTGTAATTGGAGAGTGAAGCTAACAGTTCAGACGGACGAAAGAACGCAACGGAGAGAATGGAAACGAGGCACGTCTCAGTAATTGTATCAGGCCCGCAGGAATTTCGATTGAAGTCGAGTTTGTTTTGTTTGCGGCTCCAGTGTCACTCTGGCATTCTGCACCTGCTTTGTCGCACTGGTACATGCGAGGTCATCAAGGAGGTCAAAGGTTAAGTGGGTCCTCACGGAGAACCCCCGGGAGGTGTTAGAATCTGTCCACTATAAAAGACCACGGTTTGGTCTGGGATTGATGACGGTATTGATGACTGATCACAGGAATGTCTACAGACTGAAAAGCATTCCAGCGCCGCTCGTTTGTCATTAGCGCCGAAAATGACGGCGATTGCGTCTGAAAAATTATGTTTCCAAAAGATGGAAGTGGGTTTAATCTGGGAAAGGCTCGGAGCAAACTTCCCGGTCATGATGGCGCTCCCAAATGAAAATTAAAGTAGTGAGATTTAGAGATTAGATTTACAGATTAGGAATTAGACAAAGATAGAATAGAACAGGACGGCAGTTCTGTTTCGTTCTGTTCTAGGATTAGATCAGATCAAGATAAACTCAACTGAACTGAACTAATATTCAATTCAAATCATTATGAATGAAAGTCAAAGTCGGGTTTCTGTCTCTGAGTAAATTAACAGTAAGAATTAGGCTGCATTCCATTTCTTTGGAACCGTGTTCACACACACTGCGGTTAAACCAGGGTTTCTGGTTTGAAAACATTTTTTAATCCTCTGTGACAATACAAAGCCGGTTATTCTCCAGGTCACCTAATTTTCCAATCAGATCATGGGTTTCCTGAGAAGTGGTGCGGTGTTGTCGTGACTTCCTGGTTCCACACCTGTACTGTAGTCAGTACTGGTATTTCCCCGTACATCTGTGGTCTCTGAGAGAGGAATACTTTTTTTTTTTTTTGAAAATCCGAGGTTTCTGATGCAGCTTTGTATTTGGTGGAAAATATATAGATAAACCTTTAAATCAGGTTGATTTGCCAACAAGGTCACAGCAGCTATAGTAAATCATGTTCATAGCTTTGTTTTTTAGAGGAGGAAATTCATGCAGTATTATCTTTAAATTTGTTTTTGGGGACTTTGGGAAGTTTATTTAAATTCTATTCCAAACCGATTGTGACGCTGTTTCTTTCACACTGACCTTTTTCAGGACACTGTCCAACGTCTCCGGACGGCTGATGTCGAAGCAGATGAGGACGGCGTCTGCGTCGGGGTAGGCCAGTGGTCTGACGTTGTCGTAATAGGCCGAACCTGCGGGTGAGGAGAACACAGATGTGAGCAGAGGCTGCAGGTACTGTGTTTTATTTCTGGTTCCTTGGCTGAAGAGTTAACTTTTTTTTAATATACTTCAAAGTGAGTCATTACAGAGAAGTTTCAGCCAGTAATAACTGTGATTATATGTAATTATGACGAACTAAGCCGCGCTGCGGATGACAGCGTGTGGGTGTGATTCGCCGCGTTTCAACTGCTCGGATGGGGCCTCGTCCACAAACCCGCGGTTCTGTTTGTCTGGCTGTTGTGAATAAACCAGTAGACAGACATGTGACGGCCGTATAATGAAGGGCTCACACAAAGCGTCACCTGGATTTCAGAGTAGCATGGGTGTTTTTTTTTGTTTGTTTTTTTTGCCAGGGGGCCGGGGTGAATTCAGTTTTGTGACCTGTGCGA